TCCCCACCCTCATCTTCATAGTGTTTGTTGCCAGAAATGTCACACATGATAACAAATGTGGACAAGTAGGGGACAAGGAGGAGATGGCGTGAATCTGTGCACAGGGGGCCAAATAGAACTGTTTGCACGGTGGCTGGCAGAACTGGGCCTGCCAACCTGGACTGTCAGGCAGAGGGGGCAGGGGAGGAGGGCTGTGGGAGAATGAGGGCTTGGGTTTCCCACTCTGGGCCTCAGTTTTCCTCTCTGTAGAGTGTGGACACAGCTGGACTTGATGGTTTTCTATTTCCTGCTGCACAAGCTTCATGGAGCTAGGGGATTTCCAGGCAGGCTGGCTCCTGGAAAGGAGTGGAGGGGGTTGGGGGGGGAAGATCTGCAGGCACCTTGGAATCCAAACGCGAAACACTTGAGAGTTTCTGCAGCCCCCCTCCAGTCACATCCCCACCCCCACCCAACTCCTTCAAAAAAAGAGTGCTTTTTCCAGAAGGAGCAGCGTGGAATGTGGGGGAAGGGCCCCAGTCAGCAGCCTGGGCTGGGCTCATTGCTAAGAATAATGTGGCAAAGGCTCTTGACTTTTTTTTTTTTCCCTGATGCTGGAAATTTAAAGGCGCCGTGGCCTTTCTCTACTCACAGAGGCCATGCTTGGTTCTTAGATGACAGGAAACCAAGTCAGCCTCTTCCATTCTCACTACCAGGCTCCTGCCTGAGCCTCTTCTGTGCCCTGGGCAGGAAGCTGGAGTCTCATGTGGAAGAAGCCAGAGGTTCTACCCTTCAAAGCCTCCAAGGACACTCATTGAGAATCCAGGGCGATAAGACTGATAAAGAAGATAGACAGAGTTTGGGGAGGCTTCTGGCCTGCTCTGAGCTGTGGCAGGAGTCTTGTGCCACTGTCAGAGACTTCAGACCCAGCTCCCTCTCCAGATCTCAGTTTCTCTGTATGTAAATGGAGGGCTTGGATCCTCTATGTGCTTCCCCTCCTAGAGGAACAGCAAGAGTGTCATGTTCCCCCCATCCCCCCAAATGGTACAGTCTTAACCTCCTCTGGTTCTCTCTCAAGTGTTGGAGAGGCCTGGGGCAGATAGAGGGCACAGGGAGGAAAGGAGTCTTTTGGATTTGATGTGTACTTGCTGGGAACCCAGACAAACCTCTCCTGCATTCCCCTAGTTTTGAAAAGTCTTCCAGTCCTGTCCCAGGCCTTAGCTTACAAGTTACAAGTTACAAGGGACTCTGTAGGCCAAGATGAAGGCAGGGATGGATGGTGGGGTCTGGCCTGAGACCCAGGGTGTGTTCTTACATAGCAAGGGTTTATCCTTAAATTTGCAATGCTCAGGAGACAGGACAACTATCTCAAAGAGATGGATGCCAGTGTAAAATGTCAAGGCTTTGCATAGGCCTGTCCAGAGAAGATAGGTGGCCTGCCTAAAAAGCCAGCAGAGTCCCTGTTCTCAGAGGGGCCAGTGCTTGACCTTTTGGTATAGCACAGGGAAGATTTCCTTCTGTCTGTGGCTGCACATAGGAACCCAGGAACCGTGAAATGTCATAGCCCTACAACTCTGTGTGTGTGTGTGTGTGTGTGTGTGTGTGTGTGCGCGCGCGTGCGCGCCACATGCGCCAATCCTAGGGCTTGAGACTCAGGGCCTGAATGCTGCCCCCAAGCCTCTTTGTGCCCAAGGCTAGCACTCTACCATAGTAGAGCCATAGTGCCTCTTGCAGCTTTTTCTGAGTAGTTTATTGGAGATAAGAGTCTTACAGACTTTCCTGCCAGGGGTGGCTTCAAACCATGATCTTCAGATCTCAGCCTCCTGAACAGCTAGGATTATAGTTATGACTCACTAGCACCCTGCTTAGTACTATTTCTTAATGTAACATGTTTATCTAGAATATATTTTAACTATTTTTATACCAGTGTAAACTGAAACACATACATTTTGTACATTGTGCTTCTTTTGTGGGACATATACAAGGTGACCCAAATGGTTCCCACCATTTGGTTGTTCTGATGTGGGAATATCGGTCATAGAAAACATTAAATTTTAAAATAACCACTCTTTTAATTAAAATTAACTTTTAGGCTGGTGAGCTAGTAGTGCAAGGTCCTGAGTTCAAACTTCAGTACTACAAAAAAGAATAAAAGGAGGGGCTGGGAAGGTGGCTCAGTGGTAGAGTGCTTGCCTTGCATGCCTGAGGCCCTGGGTTCAATTCCTCAGCACCACATAAGCAAAAAGAAAAAAGCTGGAAGTGGTGCTGTGGCTCAAGTGGTACAAAAGCTGAGGGACAGTGCCCAGGCCCAGAGTTCAGGCCCCACTACTGGACCCCCCCCCAAAAAAGGAGAAAAATAACTTTTAGTCACAGAAGTATATATTGTGAGGTAATCTGAAATCAGTTATATTTTTGTCATGAATATCCTAATAATTATTGTAGTAAAACCAAAACAACAACAACACTGAAGCTCTGTGTGGTGGTTCACACCTGTAATTGTAGTTACTCAGGAGGCTGAGTTCAAGAAAATTGAGGCTCCAGGTCAGCCTGAACAACAACAAAAAAAAAACCCCAAACAACCCCAAAACAATAACACAAAACAAAAATACTCAACAAGCTCAAAGGATTCTCAAAAGAAAAAGCTGGACATGGTGGTGTGTGCCTGGACCTCTGCTACAATGGTCTAGTTCAGCCCTGTCAAAAATCAAGAACTCAACCTCAGAAATAACCAGTGACCAAAAGGATTGGCAGTGTAGCTCCAGTGGTAGAGAACCTACTTAGCAAGCATGAACTCCCAAGTTGCTACCAATAATAAAATCTATATAGCCCAGTCTGGCTTGGAACTTGTGATCTTCTTGACTTCCCTCCTTAGTCCTAAGATTGCAGCCATATGCAAACATGCCTGGCAGCACTCTGAGGGTTTACATATTATTATTATTATTATTTATTTTGCCTGTCCTGGGGGTTGAACTCTGGGCCTGGGCTCTGTCCCTGAGCTACTTTTGCTAAACATGAGCACCCTACCACTTGAGCCACAGTACCACTTCTGGCTTTTTTTGAGTAATTTATTGAGTTTCCTGCCCTGGCTAGCTAGCTTTGAACAGTGATCCTCCTGAGTAGCTAGGATTACAGGTGTGAGTCACTAGGCCGGGCCACCCTGAGTTTTTGATACTTTTATTCTACTTTTATTCTACTCACATCCAAACAGGCTAAGATTTTTTAAAAAAATGGATTTAGAGTCTCTCTAGGGCAAAAAGATGTCTTAAGGATTCTAGAAAGCTCTTATTCTTTCACTCTGATTGAGAATCTGATTTTTTTTTTTTTTTTTGTCGGTATTGGGGCTTGAACTCTGAGCCTGGGCGCTGTCCCTGTGCTCTTCAGCTCAAGGCGAGCACTCTACCGCTTGAGTCACAGTGCCACTTCCGAGAATCTGATGTTTTTGAGACCTAAGATTTCATATAGTCCTTGTAATCAGAAGTTTTATCAATACCACGAGATTGGGGAGGGATAGTTCCCCCTATCTCCTGCCTCCAACTGAGGCCAGGATAGCAGGGTGCTAGAATTCATTCACTTGCCAGGATCCAAGCATGCACCTGGAAGAAAGAAGGAGTTCACTTCAGTTTTCTGACTGATTGCATGAGTGAGAGTTGGGAGGGGTGGGAGTGTGGCTAGAGCACGTACCTAGAATACTTGAGGTTGGGATCTCTCTACTGTGCTCTTCTTTTCCATGCCATGCCCACCTGTGGCCTGTCATTTCAGTTACAGAAGATTGTAATCGAAACAATATGCCTTAAAGAATTCTCTACAAACTTGTATGCACACACAGCCTCAAGAATGGACATACCGAAGATCAAGGACTTTGTCTGGTGTGCAGCTGTATTTTCCTCACCTAGAACAATAATGAATACCCCAGGTCAATCCCAATACAAGTCACTATCAGTATGGGAGGGTGGAGAGGGCCTGTGGGAGGGGACAGAGATAGGGAGGAGAGCAGGGGTGATCAAAGTAGGATAGGGACACATCAAGGACAGTAAGGTCAGAACAGGAATGCAACTTGCTTAGTGGACACCCAGATTTTCTTTCCTAGCCACCTCCTTGGACCTGTGTGCTTACCTGATGTTCCCAGGTGTTTGCCTATATGGGTTTTTGGGGGTGAGAGCAAGGTACTGGCTCTGATTCTGCCTCTATATTCCTCACGGAGGTTCAGCTTAGTGGAGGCTGAAGAAAAGCTGGACTGGAGAAGCACTCTTAAATCTGATCACCTACTCTGAGACAAAGGAGGGGGACCCTGGCTGGGCAGGAAGCATAGAGACACCATTAAAATTTAAGAAAAGCCAGGTGCACTCACTGTTGTAATCCTTGCTACTCAGGAGGCTGAGATCTGAGGATCACCATTCCAAGCCAGTTTGAGGGAGGTAAGTCCCTGAGATTCTTATCCCCAATTAACTAGAAAACCAGCTGAAAGTGGGGGTGTGGCACAAATGGTAGAGCACCAGCTCAAGACCAGTGCCCAGGCTCTGAGTTCAAGCCCTAGGACCTGTACAAAACAAAAGAACCAAAACCCAGCAGGAAATGGAGGAGATGAATCTCTTGGTGACAGAGTAGAAAAGGGGTGCCAGGACAAGGCGCCCAAGCAGTGGACAGGGATGTATGTGGAGACCTTGCCTAGGGTATGTGTGGTGGGGGGAGAGGGGCCGGATCTTGGGGTGGTGTCTCCTCCAGTTCGATGGTCTGCACCCCCTGTCCCTCTCTAGGAGCGCCGGGGCCCTGGATCTGGGGGCCCAGGGGGGGCCGGGACCGGCGCAGCCACCTGGGAGATGGGGGCATTAGGACCCAGGGGCTCAAGAGCGCCCGCGGGCCGAGGGCGGGGGCCCGGCCGGTTTGGGGGAGGTCTTTGGTTTTTTTTTTTTTCCGTAGCGGGGGCGCCCTCCGGAAGCGTTTCCAACTTTTCCAGAAGTTTCTTGGGACGGGCAGAAGGGGGCGGGGCAAGCCGTATTTAGTCTCCGCGCGCGCGGGGTGGCGGGCGGAGTGGGATCGGGACTGCGGCGGACAGTTGGACTTAGTGGGCCCAGGTGAGTGTGTGTGTATGTGTGGTGGGGAGCTCAAGGGGAGTTGGGGTGCTTTGGAAGTCTTGGGGCCTCAACCAGCACCCACCCGCTGGAGTTCTCGGTACCTGTGGGCAGTGGGGAGGTTCGGGATGGAGAGTTCGGGGCGCGGTGGCCGTGGGGGCGCCCGGGAGCTGGGCGCAGAGCAGGGCCGGGGGAGGGGGGGTGCGTGCTGTGCATTCGGGGTGCAGGGAGCTTGGGAGAAGGGGGTGAAGGTGGTCACGGCAGGGTGCTGGGCCGGGCCCTCCGCCGAAGAGAGAAGCAGAGGGGGGCGGCGCTCAGCAAGATGAGGACCGGCCCGCCGTGCAGCCCAGACGGCCCGGGCTGGGGTGGAGGTCCCCAAGCTTCGCGGGCAGCCCCCGACTTATGGCTGCAGCGGCCTGGGTGGACCGTGGCAACCGAAGGAAGGACTTAGCTCCTTTCCCCTAATCAAAAGGAGCCCGTGGGGTCCGAATGGGAGAGGAAGTGGGAGTCACCGAGACCCCCTGGAATGTACCGGTGCGATCCATCGGATCATCTCTTTCTTGTGCCCACCTACCTGGATCCTTGCAGAAGTTCCCCAACTGAGGTTCCCCCCCTCCCCCCCCCCCCCCCCCCCAGTTTAGAGACAATCCCCAGCATCCTGGACTGGAGGAAGAATGAAAGCACTTCCAGCCAGGCCTGAAGGCTGGTCCCTCCTCTTCCTCCGGTTTCCTGCTGGCCTCTCTGGACTCCAGGGCGCAGATGGAGTCTGGGGGAAGGGAGGTGGATTGGGGGCTCTGGTTGTCCGGGCTGGGGCCACACCCTTCTAGCCTCCAATGGTTCGTGCACCCATCCCCCCTTCCTGCCTGGTCTTTTGTCTCTGGACACCGGCATTCCTGTAGTGGCTATGTAACAGGATACTACGGACAGAGTGGCCTGCGGGAGGGCTCCGAGCTGCTGCCGGAATGGAGCCCCTAGCTAAAAACAATGGGACCCCTAACCTGAACTGTGAGATACCCCGGTCTCAAAGTCCCAGTAAGTTTGAGACAGGGTCCGGGGCCTAGTTGGCCTATACTCCCCTCCTCTCCTTTGGGGGAGGGGGTCCCATTCTCCTCACGCTTCTGTTTTCTTTCAGAATGAAAAAGGCAGGCATTGACCTCCCTCTGAGGCAGTTTCAAGGTATTTTTAGACCCCCTCAAGTGTTGGCGACCCTCATGTGGCCCTCAACACTTTCTCCCCTTTTCTTCTAGTCTCACCTCCCACAGTCAGCTGTGGGCATAGCCCTCAGCTCTGCAAGTTTCATGGTTTTCTTCTTCCTTTGTGGGACTGTAGATTGTCTTAACCTTGGCCTGAGGGCTGGCATTTCTCTGGCAAGACTGACTGGGTGCGGGAGGCTGGCTTGCTTGCAGTAACTTGTCTTTATCTGTTCCTGTTGCTGGATTTAACAGTGCTTTCTTGCCCAGCCTCCTGTCTCCTTCCTGGGCCTGAAATCCAGGCCCAGGAGGCTCCTGAAAACTCCCTGAAAATCCATACACCCTTAGGCCTGAGCCCAGGCCTCTTGCTTTCTAGGCTGGCAACCCCCCTCTGCTGGCCAACAGAGATAATTCCTCCCTCGGCCTGCCGCGTCACTGGGAGTGGGGAGCTGGAGCCCTGTGGCCGCTGAGGAATCCCAACTAGTTATTTAGAGCTTTCTTGAGAAGCCCCTCCCAGTTCTTTGAGGTTCTGGCTGGCTGGGGTGGGGGCTGTCAAGATGGTGGCTGCCACGTGGCAGTGCTGAGTTCCTCAAAGGGATCTGGTGGCCCCTGTTGGATCAGAGGACTGATCAGAAAATCCTTTCTCCTCATTAATGTCTGTGTTTGCACTCTGCCTTTGAGCTGTAGGCCTGGTATTGAAGGAGCTAGGGCTGGGCATGGGGAGGCCTGGGCCCCAGTCTAGGCCTGTGGACTCCTTTCCCCATTTGTACTTGAGTGAAATGCACATTTTTCTTCTACCATCTCCCAGTCCTCTGTGGGGCTCTGTAACCATCCCATCCCTCCTTCCCTGCACCTTCTTGGGCTCTTTGCTTTGCTTTTGCCACCTTGAGGAGGGTGGCAGCCTAGGGAGGTAAGGGGACCTGTCCGGGTTTTCAAGATTACAGCAGTTGAATTTTCCCAGAAATCCAATGCTCCCTTAAGCAGGCTAGAGTTCCTGAGGATCATCTACCAGGATTTCAGAATTTCAGTCTTCCTGCAGGAGGTCCATAAAACAGCATCTGTCAAGCGTAGTGCAGTCCCAGTCTCCACCAGTTCTTTCAGCCTTTTCCTACTCCCCCCTCTCCCCAATCTCTCTTCCTATCTTGCTGCATGGAGTATATGTAAATATCTCATGAATAGAGTTGTAGGCCCCAGAGATTGGAGCAAGGCAGTCCTTGAGGGCTTGTTACTACTGCTGTATTTGGGGAAGGGGGCTGAGGGCCTCCTTGAAAATGACTGTTAGCTGAGGATAGAATGGAATCTTATGTAGCTCCAACTTCTGGAATGCCAGACATATGTCTGTGCAGCCTTGGGTGATGGGGGAGGCTTCACTGCACCACTAAGCTGTGACTCACCCTCTTTCCCCAGGATCCTGTCCTTGTTAACTTTCTCAGGAAGCAGCCTCCATTCTGAAGAGTGAGTGGATCCCAGGAGCTTTAGCCCTGGGATTTCCCATCTGGCTGTGCGCAGATGATTAGGCCACATCCCTGTCAAGAGAGGCCTAGATTTTTGCAGCTTGGAAAAGGGAGACTGAGACATAGGCATGTGTATGCGTGTGTGCACGTGCACGCGTGCTCGTGTGCACACACACACCCACACAAAACACAGGGTCACCCTAGGGGCAGCAAAGTGGAGCATCTGAGCTCCCCCATTTAATGAGTGAACCAATCAGTGATTCATTAACATCCCAGGTTATGGGGTGGGGCAGGGGCAGGCCACAGCTCCAGCACACATGAAAGCCTGGGCTCTCTGCAGACCCTCAGCCCAGCTGCTGCCTTTTCTCACTGGACAAGGGCCCCGAGCATTGTTGAGAGGTCAGAACCGAGCTCTCCTCTAAACTGATGAGGCCCCATGGCTGGCTAGGTAGACTTGTTTCACCCCCATTTGGGAATAACTGAGGCTTGCTATGCACTGAGATCTAGTGGGGAAACCACACTTTTGGGTTTTCTGTACCAGAAGCCTACTTACAGGCAGAAATTGATTCATTAATAGACGTAAGTAAGTGTAAGAGGGTGTCCAATGCAGAAAATCAATAGGGTGGGCAGGTCACCACTAGCTTTGGTAGGGGTGGAGGTGGGGTTGGAATGGGATCAAAGCAGGCCTAGGAGAGACTCGGGCAACCCTGAGTTAGGTCTGGGCCTCAGAACTCGGGGGCTGCTGGCAGTGAGAAGGGACACATGTGGATGGTTGTTGGGAAGCAAGGCATATTCAACCAGGCCACCCTCTTTGTCTATACAACCCCACAGGTGTCTTGAGGCGTGCACAGCTCCACCCTCAGCCATGCGTTTCCTCCTCTTCCTGGGTGCCTTCTGCCTTGTGGCCATGGCCCTGGCTGCCGAGGTGAAGAAACCTTCCACCGAAGCAGCCCCTGGCACTTCGGAGAAGCTCAGCCCCAAGGCGGCCACGCTGGCTGAGCGCAGTGCCAGTCTGGCCTTCAGTCTGTACCAGGCTATGGCCAAAGATCAGGCGGTGGAGAACATCCTGGTGTCACCTGTAGTGGTGGCCTCGTCGCTGGGGCTGGTGTCACTGGGCGGCAAGGCCACCACCGCATCCCAGGCAAAGGCCGTGCTGAGCGCGGAGCAGCTGCGGGATGAGGAGGTGCACGCGGGCCTGGGCGAGCTGCTGCGCTCGCTCAGCAACTCCACGGCCCGCAACGTGACCTGGAAGCTGGGCAGCCGCCTGTATGGACCCAGCTCCGTGAGCTTCGCCGACGACTTCGTGCGCAGCAGCAAGCAGCACTACAACTGCGAGCACTCCAAGATCAACTTCCGCGACAAGCGCAGCGCCCTGCAGTCCATCAACGAGTGGGCCGCGCTGACCACCGACGGCAAACTGCCCGAGGTCACCAAGGATGTGGAGCGCACGGACGGCGCCCTGCTGGTCAATGCCATGTTCTTCAAGCGTGAGTGGGCGGGGCGGGAGGCGGGGCTTCTTGCAGGAGGCCCTACAGTGGCCTTCCATGGGCTATATATACTCTTCACTGACCCAGGTGACCCACAGTGGGATTGTTAGTAAACCCCCTTTCTCACTAGAAAGGAGATACCGAGAGCCAGGCAGGTGTTTGAATGAATGGGACAGGGATGGAAACCTGCAAAGCCTACCCAGCTGCATGGGACTCTTCTCCCATTTGCAGTGAGGATGAGGTGGACCCTGGTTTACAGAGGGACTGCACAAGGAGAGGTAAGATCTCATAGTCAGTTAGTTGCAAGAAAGATTTGCTTGTAATGACACAACAGAGCCCAGGCTGCTGTGGCATACACATTTCTCTTGGATGTCTTTCCTGCCACAGATACAACACTTCAGGGTGATGGTTGTAGGGTACTCTCTGCCGAGGGCATAGATCTCTTAGATGGATTGCTAGGTGGAGAAGATAGCAGCTTAGTCTCAGGTACCTGACCAGTGCCCCATCGGCAGTGGACATAGCGGTGGCTCAGCTGAGGGTAAAATGAAGTTCCTGTTATTTAGGAGCAATTGGATGCCAGTTAGCAAGTACCACTAAGGTCCCTTTACCCCAAAGCAAGGAATCTGTTCTGTGGGTCGATCCCAAAGGATAGAGCAAAGGCCCTGGCAGGGATTTGTGCAGGGTATGCAGTTTGGTGTGTGATTGCCCCCTGCGGGACATGGATTACTGATTCTTTTGCTCTGTTTTCACCACAGCACACTGGGATGAGAAATTCCATCACAAGATGGTGGACAATCGTGGCTTCATGGTGACTCGATCCTATACCGTGGGTGTCACAATGATGCACCGGACAGGTAGGTGCCTTGTGGGTCAGAGAGGCAAGGCCAAGAGGTCCCAGGATGCCTGGTCTGGCATGCCTTTCCACCCTGCAGAGCTCCCAGCATCCTCTGCTTTTCACCCAGGCCTCTACAACTACTATGATGATGAGAAGGAGAAGCTGCAGATCCTGGAGATGCCCCTGGCCCACAAGCTCTCCAGCCTCATCATCCTCATGCCCCACCACGTGGAGCCGCTTGAACGCCTGGAGAAGATGCTGACCAAAGAGCAGTTGAAGGTCTGGATGGGGAAGATGCAGAAGAAGGCTGTGGCCATCTCCCTGCCCAAGGGAGTGGTGGAGGTGACCCATGACCTGCAGGTGAGACCTGGAGTGGAAAGGAGTGACTTGGGTTTTCTTCATCAGAGCAAAAGCTCTGTTCTGAGGCCCCTATGTGTTCAACCAATTCTAAGTTCCATGAAGGATAATGGGAAAGTGGTAGACAGATGATAAAAACAGTAACTAAATACAGCTGGACACTTGGTATGTGCCAGACTTCTTTCTGAGCACTTCATGTGCTAAATTCATTGAACCTTCAAAAAAAACCTCCCCAAAACAACAAAAAAAAAAAAACCACCTTTGTTAGAGAGGAAGGCAAATTGATATATGAGGAAACAGAGGCTAAGGAAGGTTAAATGACCTCTCTAAAGGCCCTCAGTAATATTAGGACGTACTGGAATCAGTCCTAAATCTCTGTGCTACCTCTGGGAATATGGAGTGCCCCATTTAGAGGGCTCAAGTGGGAAGATCAGCCACCATCTGACAAGTCGTAAAATTAGGACCACTCAGGGCAGCTAGGCAGTTGGTAAGTATGTTCAGCAGGAACTCTCCAAGGCCCCCCCCCCCCCCCCACATAAACATCAGCTTGTAAGGTGCAGAGCTAGAGTTAGAACACCAAGTGATGACCTGGAATGGGCTGTCAGTCGGGAGGGACAGAGTTTGATCTGCTCAAAAGAAAATTCACTCTTACCTTGGAGGTCAAAAATGGCTCATTGGCAAACTTCATCTCCAGAATTATTTAGCCTTGACACGAGAGCTCTTAGAAAGAAAGCTTGAGATGGGATGAGGCTTAGAGATGAGTAGAGTTTGTGCTGGTCTGTATGGATATTATTAAGAATTCCCAGAGAGGAGCACTGGCTGCCTCCCTCTGTGGCCCGACGCTGGCCCCAGGTCTTCCTCAAGCCCTTTAGTGGCCACTCTCCACTTCCTTTCTTTCCATCTTTCTCCTCTATCTTTCTGGAACTGCCTGACTTGGTACCCAGGTGGTCCTGCCTCACAGGCAGAGGTCTCTGGGCATTGGAGGTTACGTGTTTAGTCAACCTGTGGCTCTCCACTAAAAGTTCATCCACGCTGAAAACCAGGAAAGCTCTGGACACGTGTGCTTTTCCCTTGGGGAGCTCTGAGCCAAGTGGGAGGGGCAAACAGGAGCAGATGCTGCTGAATAGAAGGAAGTCCAAGGGCACTGAGCCCCAGGGGAGGTACTGTTTGTCAGGCTGGGGAAGACTTCATGGATGAGGTATGTTGAAAGTTGCAAAGGATTCAGGCACTAGTGCCTCACTCTTGTAATCCTAGCTATTCAGGAGGCTGAGATCTGAGGATCATGATTCACAGCCAGCCTAGGCAGGAAAGATATGAAACTCTTTATCTCCAATTAATCACTAGAAAAATGGAAGTAGTGTGTGGCTCAATGTGGTAAAGCACTAGCCTTGAATGAAAAAGCTTGGGGAAAGTGCTCAGGCCCTGAGTTCAAGCCCTAGGACTAGCAAAAATAAATAAATAAATAAATAAATAAATAAATAAATAAATAAATGTGAAGGGACAGAGGCCAACACCCAACAGACCAACACACAGGTAGCTCAGGGAGGCCACCTAGAGGCCAGGGTGAGGTATGCAAGGGATGAGACTAGAGGCTGTGACTTGAGTAGGGGTCACACAGACTGAATCAATCCTAGCTTCATGGCAGGAGAGATGGGAGGATTACAGTTTGAGGCCAACCTGGGTAAAAGTTAGAAATGTCTTGTGAAAAATGAGTTGGATGCAGTTACATGCCTGTGATTGCAGCTAGGCAGGAGACAGAGATAGGAGGATCACAGTCTAAGGTGACCTGGAGGGACAATATGAGATCCTGTCTGAAAAAGAAACTAAAGCAAAAGAGGCTTGGGTTGTGGTTCATACTATACAGCACTTGCTTAGCAAGTGTCAGTACCTGAATTCCAAGTCTGGTTTGCAAAATCTCTGTGTTGCAAAAAAAAAATGTAATAAATCCTTCAGTGGCCATCGCTAGATCACTAGCTTTACCGCCATTCTCTCACAGCCATCTGTATGCACCTGCTTCTCACTGCATCCTGTAATTTGAACATGTCCCGGCGTTGTACCATCCAGGACAGGTTTTAAGCCCCAGAGTGATGTGGACAGAGCTGTCATTTGATCCATTTTTCTCAAACTTGATTGTGTTAAGAATCCTATGGGGGCTAGGCACCAATGACTCACCCTCGTAATACTAGCTGTGCAGGAGGATGAGATCTGAGGATCATAATTCAAAGCCAGCTCGGGCAGGGGGAAGCCAAGAGATTCTTATCTTCAGTTAATTACCAAAAAGCCAGAAGTGGAGTATGGCTCAAGCAATAGAGCACCAAACTTGAGCTGAAAATGGAAAGGAGAATGAAAGGTCCTGAGTTCAAGCCTCAATACGGGCACAATAAAAGCCAAAACAAAAAAACTAACTCTTTTAAATCAAAAGGGTCCAGGCCCACTACAGAGACTCAGGTCTAGGCTGGGGTTGGGGTCATGACTTCAAGTTAAGTTCTGGGTGTGCTGCCTAATTATGAAGCACACTTGGGAAGTATGCCTTCAGCTTGCTGGGGAGAATCAGAGATCCATTTTGCTTTGTGTTTGAACCTCCGTTTCCTCATCTGTGAAAGTTGCCATAGGATTGAATTAAACAGTTCTAAGGGCCTGACACAGGTGTCTAGAAAGTGGCAGTCTCTTCTCAAAAGATTGTTCAGGATGGCATGGGTGGAGGGAAAGGTATAACAGCCTGACATGCATAGCCTTACCTGGCACTTGATTCTACAGAAACACCTGGCTGGGCTGGGCCTGACTGAGGCCATCGACAAGAACAAGGCAGACTTGTCACGCATGTCAGGAAAGAAGGACCTGTACCTGGCCAGCGTGTTCCATGCTACCGCTTTTGAGTGGGACACAGAGGGCAACCCCTTCGACCAGGACATCTACGGGCGTGAGGAGCTGCGGAGCCCCAAGCTGTTCTATGCCGACCACCCCTTCATCTTCCTGGTGCGAGACACCCAGAGCGGCTCCTTGCTCTTCATTGGGCGCCTGGTCCGACCCAAGGGTGACAAGATGAGAGATGAGTTGTAGGCCCCAGAGTGGGCGCAGGATGATGGCAGGAGGCGGCCGAAGGCTCCTGAGACACATGGGTGCTATTGGGGAGGGAGGGAGGTACCTACCAGCTTTCATAGTCCATGGGATGGGGGGGTGGGAAAGCAGACTGGGGTTTTTATGTGATCGAGCAGACCTTATCAGCCAGAATCCACTCTGCTTGGTCCTGGGCCTCAGATACCATGATGCCAAACCCAGACACCACACACTGTGGAGTCTTGCCCTGTCCTCAGAGTCCCACGTGCCTCAACCAGCCAATCAGTGTTCCTATTTATAGCCAAAACCTTATCTGTGAGAGACAATCAAGCTGGGGTGGGAGGGGGTGGCTGCCAGCTCTCCAGTGACACCGCCATCACTTCTGCCTATACCCCTCCCCCACTCAGCTTCCCACAACTATGGATCTAGGTGCTGTGTCCCTGGGACCAGGCCCTGGCCCCAGCCCCGTGAATGCAATTGAGAGATAGCTTTTAGGAGGGACTGCTGGGCCGATCCTGGATGAGCAGCAAATGAATTGGACATCATGGGGAGAACCTTTTTTTTTTTTGTCTTTTCCTTAGTTTCTCAAAGATGGGGAAGAACATGAGCCTTTGTCAACAAATGAGAACTTTGTACAAAGTTTTTGTTTTTTTTTTTTTTTTTCAATAAAACTTTTCCAATGAAACTTTGCTGGAATGTGGAAGAAGATTGGATTGGGGCTTCCCATCAGGGACTTTCCCTTTCCTCTTAGGGGACAAACTCTCCCATGGAGCTGCAGAGGGTTTCAGGCCCTAGAATGCTGTCAGATAACAACAGACAATGGAGGTAACTGCAGGCTGTGGTGGGAGTCCAAGCATTCTCATAGGACCCCAGTTAGCAGCCCTCTAGTCCTTCATTGCAAGGTAGTCTCATTACAGAGGGCTGGAATGGGGCAAACTCAGGCACACAGTCTGATTTGGGGGGAGCTTTGAAAACGGAGCTGGGAAGTATTCCTAGGTGGCCTAGTGTGGGGAGGAGGAAGTCACATGGTCCATCTGATACCCCGTGCTTTGTGGTTATCTTTCAAGGTCATGGGGAGTGGTGGGAGGGGGAGGCTGCACAGGACTAGACTTGGGTGAAGCTGAGTAGATTGGGGCTCTACCTCTGCTGATGACTTGGAGGGGGGGGGGGTTCCTGCTTCCTAGTTCTCCATTCCTCACCCTTCCCCCTTGCTAATGCGTTTGCCCTAGGGAATAGATGCCCCCCCGCCCCCCCCCCCCCCACCTAGTCTGTCCAAGGGTAAATGGTGCTGGAGAAGGGCTGGCTAGTATCCATATGACCACACGGAATTTTAGCAAAACTTGTTCCAATTTGCAGATCTGTCTTGTCCTGTGAACTCGGCAAGTTAGCTCTCCATCCTTCAGAGAGCTTCATCTAGCAGTGAACATGGGGAGACAGTCACAGTGTGCTCAGGATTCAACTGCATTCCAGGCACCTGGGTCATCTGCTTCCAGTTGTCCCATGTGCATTGCCCTCCCTGCTCCAGGGCCTTGGTACCAGCTAATCTTTCACCCTAGTATGTGATGCTTGTAGGGTTTTTTGGGGCAGGGCTTTTCTTTTTGTCATTCTGAACTCAGATACCATTTGTGAAGAGGGGCCTTCTCTGTCCATCCAACATAATTCACTCTCCACCCAACCCAGCTTCTCATTTCCCCAACTTAGCACTGAGACATTGTCATCACTTACTGCCCACTTTCATGTCTGTCTCCCCAATGAGAATGGGAGCTCTGAGGAAAGGGGCCATATCTGTATGTCCATTGCTGTGTGTCTGCACCTAGACTCAGTGTCACACATACCAGGCCCTGGGAACACTTGCTGAGAACATGAAAGGCCTGATGTAGGAGAGGATACTGGGGCTCTGGAGGAGGAGGCAAGGAGTGATCAGGATAAAGACCTTAGTAATGCCAGCTGCTACTGCTTGGGTATTTGTTCCTATGAGGTGCCCAGTAGTTACGGTGTGGAATTGTGTTCAAGCTTCACAGCAGAACTAGGTGGGCATGGCTCCTTTTTACAGGGGGATTCACTGAGTCTGAAAGATGCACGAGCCCCTCAGCCAGTGAGATAGAACTGGGCTTTGACCCTGGATTGAGTAATGGCTCCTGCTTCCATGTCCCACAGCTGGAGAGATCTGGCCAGATTCTAACCTGCTTGCAGTCTAATTCCAATCACTCAACCCCACATTAGCCCAGTGAGGTGGGGACCACTATAATTCTATGGGACCAGACTCAGAAGACCACTCTGGACAATCAGGTCTACTGCCTCCTGCCACGGCTGATTAGGGCACCACAGTGCCCCCACCTGGTGGAAATGGGCAGTGAACGGAGCCAGGCCTGGGTGGCAGAGGCCAAATCACACAAAGGGGACCTAAACCAAGCTCCTTCTTCCTTCCTGGCACAGGGTGGGATGGGGATATGGGGAGAGGTCCACACTCAGGTGGATGCTGGGATTCAGATAGCCATGCAAGAGCAGAGGCAAGCAAGGCAGGTGTGGAGTGGGGCTAGAGGTTGGTCCACCACTGTGAACACCTCTAGTGGCCCATCACTGCCCTGTGTGGAGCTGTCCTGCCACCTGGAGGCCACTTGGGGGCGGGGAGTGCCGTTAGTCTCCATATAGTGTCTGAAGTCTCAGAGGTGATGCACATATTGGGTTGCACCCAGATGTGGGTGCAAGTGTGGAGATGGGATGAATCTTTAACTGATCACCTATTATGTGCCTGACACTGTTACAAACATATATCTCTCAGGTAAATAAGTTACTGTCCCATGGTAGGAGTAACAAAATTAGGCCTCATAGAGGTGAAAGGACTAGCCTAATGCCATCCAGTAGAACGATGCTGGAACCCGGTCCACATGGCAACCCAGGTCTCCTGGCCATGGAGGAAGGAGCAATAATGGGCAAGTCTCTATAGGGGAGGAGGCATAGCCATCATGGGATTCTCAGTCACCCTGACCCCAGTTCCTCATTCTCCTCCCTCCAGACTTTAGCTGTCATCTCCTTCAGGACAAATTAGCTGTCATCTCTTTCTTCTCCTGTCTTGCATCCTCATATCTAGGGCAAATGCCTGATACACAGGAGGTGTCTAATAAAAGCTCAAAGGAAGTGGTTCAGTGCTTAGCATCAGAGGTATTGGGACCTGCAGACCTGCCACAAGTCCCAGTTCTGCCATTCCCCTAACTGGGTGACCTGGGGCTGGTTACTTAACTCTTCTGAGCTGTGGCAGGATGGGAATGACAAGAGTAGTGGGCACACAAAGGTTGGGGTGAAAGTTAAATGGGGTAATCAAGGCCACCACATGGCAAATAGCATGTGGTCAGTGACTTAGCTACTAAGCAGAGGTGGTGGTGGTCAAGCTCATGTAGGAGAGCTGGGACATGAGCCTTCATGCCCTGACTTCAGAGTCTGATTCTTTTCATTATGCCACAGTGCCTCAGGTTCAGCGTGGGCTGAAGTGTAGGGGAAAGTGCTAAAAGTGGAGTACTAGAGCTGGATAGAAAAGCAAGAAGCATTCCAGATGAGAGGGACCACTGGAACAAAGAGTTGTGGATGCCCAGAGCAAGTTGGGAACACAGTGAGGTGGTGGGCTGCACATGGTAGGATCTCCTCCAGTTCCCCTCCTCCACATCCTTTCTGGCTACTTCCACTCCCTCTGCAGTCCATTGCCACTTCCTACCCACTCTGCTTGGCCTGGCATTCCCCATCGCTGTCTGTAGAGACTCTTCACCTTTCCAGGCCTATCCCAAAGACCTCCACCTCCAATTCAGTCCTGCACATAGCTTACTGCCAGCTCACCTCCTTGTTCCCAGTGTGACATGAATGTGTGCAATCAACATTAACACTACAACAAACTAATGTCCAGTGTTTCATCTGTGGCCCTTTCAGGCCACCCAGGAAGAGCAATGTGTTTGTGCATACAAAGCGTACCTGCTTAGACAGGGCAGCAATTATGATTATTATTTAGTGCCAGTACTAGGGCTTGAACTCAGGGCCTGGGCACTGTCCCTTAGCTTTTTTTTTGCTCAAGGCTAGCTCTCTACCACTTAAATCATTGCTCTACTTCTGGCTTTTTGAGTAGTGAACTGGAAATAAGATTCTCAGGACTGGGGCTGGGAAGGTGGCTCAGTGGCAGAGCGCTTGCCTTGCATGCATGAGGCCCTGGGTTCGATTCCTCAGCACCACATAAGCAAAAAGAAAAAAAGCCGGAAGTGGCGCTGTGGCTCAAGTGGTAGAGCGCTAGCCTTGAGCTGAAGAGCTGAGGGACAGTGCCCAGGCCCAGAGTTCAGGCCCCATGACCAGACCCAAAAAAAAAACAAGATTCTCAGGACTTTCCTGTCTGGGCTGACTCGGAACTATGATCCTGAGTAGCTCAGGTTACAGGTGTGAGCCATCAGCACCGAGCCAAAACAGTGCTTACTCTTTCCTTATCCAGGTCATTCAATTCACCCACTCCTGGTGGAATCAAAGGTTACACTTCACATAGGAAAGGAAAGGAAATAGAAAGCATGTGTTTAGCCACATTCTAGGACAGGAGTTTCATACTGCAGCCACCAAATCACATTATCAGTTGATCATTTGCACTCACAGCACTGCTAGCTTTCTGGGGAAATTTAAGGCACCCATCTCAGTGAGAATTAGGAGAGACATACGGAAGAGTGGGATGATTTAGTCACCCCCTTAGCCCTCACTCTGCTGGGATTCCTGACAGTGGGAATAGTCACTCCTCTTTTGCCTTATTTGTAGCTCAAGAGCTTGCATTGACCTTGCCCTGGACATTACCCTGTTTGTTGTGGAGTACAAGCCACTACACAATTAGCAGCTTATGACAATATGTCCTTCAAAGTTGTAGGGTTTGACCCAATGTTGACTGGGCAATTCTTGAACTGACCTTGTCTACATTCATTGGACTTTGGGGGTTAAGGGGACTTCTGGGATCTGTCCACATGCTTCATGTTGGCTTTGTTAGGCCCCTTGGTCTCAGCCACTGCCTAAGTTCTACACCCCTAACATGCTCTTTTTCTCTTTTAATTTTGGTGGTACTAGGGCTTTAACTCAAGGCCTAGCTCTTGCCTAGACAGGTGTTCTACCACATCAGTCATACTCTCAGCCCTTTTTGCTTTGTGTTTTTCAGATAGGGTCTCAAGTTTTTTTCTCAGGCCAGCGTTAGGCTGTGCTCTTCTTTGCCACCTAGCTGGGACTGCAGGCACATGAAGATTTGCACCACCATGCCTGGCTCCCTGTCTTTGTCCTCCAGAGCCTGACAGACACTCCCATCACCAAGGCACCAGAAAGACATCTTTGAAACACAATACAATGCTTTTTCTCTGCAGGCTTGGGAGGCAGGTTTTCTGCCATGGAAACAAGCTGCATGATTTTCCATGGAATGATGGGATCCCAGGGAAGCAGAAGACAAACAGCACAACCAAGACTACCACCCTTTATTGGCTATCAGCATAGTTGAACATTTGGCAAATGCGAATCCATAAATAGCTAGAAAGAAAAGTTGTGGGGTACAACAATGGGGACAGCCTTCTAAGGTGAGCCTTCATCTCTGTAATAGAAGCACAAACCAAAGGTGGCATTTCTTTCACCTGTAATGAATGCCATGATGCGGTGATCCAGAACGGTGCTCTGCTGTGCGTGGAAGAGGAGGGCGTTGCCATGGCGACAGATAGCAGATTCATTGTTTCATTAACTGGAAGAGTAAACAGATCTTAGTGATGGATTGGAAGGGGAGGGTGGGATATTGGTGCTGGGAAGAACTAGGTCAGCCATGATGTGTGTTCCCATCCCTTTTTTCTAATTGATCTGTACATTCTGCAAGAAAGACTCTGAAAGTGTCCCGTCCTAGCCTCCTATCCACACATCCCTACGAAGCATCACAGGTGTCCAGGCATGGCAGGGCTCCAGGTATGTTGGATGGAGATCTTTGTGGGAGGGAATAAAGGAATAAGATCGCAGCCTGGCCTTCAGATGGCTCCAGCCCTCACCACCACACACTTTAGGTAGAGGATGCTCCATGCTTCCCGATCCTAAGGCTTCTTTCTCACACTTGCATCCAGAATGCTTCCTTTCCTCGTCCCTACAGGCAGGTGCACAAGGAGTGGAGTGGAAGTCCAGGCCCATGGAGACCAAGGGACCTGCGGGGCAGGGACAAACTGGGGACCTGAGTATGTGCATATGTGCAGATGGCTACTGGCCCTACTGCTGCCCATTGAGGCGATTCCTGGATGATAACCACTGGAGAGTAGTGGACAGGATGTCCCAGCAACTTGGAGATGAGATTTGTCCCCTCTGATTTGCTGGTCACTAACCCTATCTCAGCAATCAGTCTTGGCTGATTGGATTTTCCCCTGGACCAGAAGTGAGCTTCTGCTTCCATCCTCCAACATCCTTCCATCCTCTGTGCATGCCTGGGGCTGGGGCGGGGGGCAAGCCTGCAGGCCAATCAGGTTCCTTCTCTTGCTGCAGGGAGGGCCCACAGGCCCTGTGCAGGACCAGGGACAGTGGGTTCTGCAGAGAGGCCAGGAAATGGCCACAGCAGAAAGGAAGAAGACACTAGGAACCCATTTCCTGCCTTTACTTGCCTCAGCTCAGAATGAGAGGCTCTGAGCCCTGGTCTCCTTCCAAAGGCCTTCCTTCTTTGCTTTAAAAGGGATGCTACACCCAGGCACTGGCCTGGAATTCTAGCTATTCAGGAAGTTAAGATGTGAGGACTGAGGTTTGAAGCCAGCCCACAGAGGAAGGTCAGTGAGACTCTTATCACCCATTAACTACCCAAAAGGCAGAAATAGAGTTGTGATTCAAGGGGTAGAGTGCTAGCCTTGAGCAAAACTGCTCAAGGCAGCATCCAGACCCTTGTTCAAACCTCAGTTCCAGAACCAAAAAACAAAAGGAGACTATCATATGGCCTTGAGGCCCATTCTGTTTCTGACAGCTCAGGCTTGAGCTTCAGGCCTGCTGACAGAGGTCCAGGCTTTCTCCCCCTGGCTGGCTGTGTGTTGTGCCAACATCATGTGCATGTGGTCAGCTCAGGGTTGACTGCTCCGTCCCCCCTATCCAGGCCTGATACAACCAATCACCTCCGATTAGTCCCAGAGAACTGCCCACTTCTTGGTTATGTTCTCATGCAAGCCAGATGCTTTTCATCTGTGGATTTTCAGAAGAGGGCTTGACTCTGGCCCTCTAGCTACCCATTGTCCATTTCTACTGCTGGTCTGGGCTGTCCAGCACCATGTCAGGCCACTGTCATTTTCTCTAGGAAGCTTTCCTGGCTGCCACCACAGGTGTATGTTCTCTACTGCCCTCTTGAAGCCAAGCTTTCACTTGTTCTAGAGTTTCTGCCCACTTGCATTTTAAGACTGGGATTCTTTGCTTCAGTAGCCTGAGTCCTGGTGTAAGAGTAGGTGCTAAGACAAAGAGATTGCATGTATACATGAATAGGGGACTGTTCTTTTTTTTTTACTGGTCATGGGGCCTGCACTCTGGGCCTGAGTGCTGTCCCTCAACTCTTCAGCTCAAGGCTAGTGCTCTACCACTTGAGCCACAGCGCCACTCCCGGCCTTTTCTGCTTATGTGGTGCTGAGGAATCGAATTCAGGGCCTCATGCACGCAAGGCAAGCACTCTACCACTGAGCCACCCTCCCAGCCCTAGGGGACTGTTCTTAATTTTAATCTTATTTTTAAAATCTTAATTCAGGTCAGGTGCTGGTGGCTCATGCCTATAATCCTAGCTGCTCAGGAGGCTGAGATCTGAGGATCATGGTTTGAAACCAGCCTGGGCAGCAAAGTCTGTGAGACTCTTGTCTTCATTTAATCACCTAAAAACCAGAAGTGAAGGTGTGGCTCAAAGTGGTAGAACACTAGCTTTGGGCAAACAGAGCTCAGGGACAATGTCCAGGCCCTGAGTTCAAGATCCAAAACCCACCCTCCCCCCCCAAAAAAAGCTCATTTGACTGAGTATAGGGATGCACACCTAATCAATCCTGTCTCTCAGGAGGCTGAAGCAGGAAGACCATAAGTTCTAAGCCAGCCTGGGCTACCTATCAGGACAGGACCCTGACTCCAACAAGACAAAACAAAATTCCCCCACAGCTCAAGGCATTCTTCAGAATTCCCATGCGAGCTGTCATGGACACTGAATGAGAGAACAACACACTTTAGGTTTGTCTTGAGAGTTAAAATCAGGAAGGTTGAGTCCTGGATGTGCTTTAAGACTGGCCCTGTGGCACACATCTGTCACTCACAATTCCTGAGGGCTGACTGGGCCCCTGCTTCTCTCATTCACAGCTTCAACTCTGACTCACCCAGTGCTCAGGCTGCAGGAGTTTGGTGCCTGGCCCAGGCTCTGCCTTTGCTTCCTCTGCCTCCTTTTGCAGAGGCCTCCTCCTTGTCCTCCCACCATCCCCTGCCTGCTTCCTTCTCATTTAGACCAATCACAGGAACAGGCATCTCTTAAGACTCTGCTGGCCCCTGGCTGGGGACCACAGAGCTGCGCTCTCTGGAGAAGGTGTGTTTTTGCCCACACATGTGTGTCCCTCTCCCACAGAGCCAGACAGAGACACCGTTAAGCTGAGGGACCACTTTTATTAGACGCCAGCACAACGATACAGCACGGCTTTGGCTTCATGCAGATTAAATATTTGTGACTCTGTTCCCCACCCCCATGGGAGGGAGCAGTTCACGGGCAGCTCCTTCGGTGGCATGTCAAGTGTGTGTGTGTGGGGACATCAGGGAGACCCCTCAATATATTCCGCACGGGGGACAGTGGGGATCATGACTGGGGGTGGAGGTGAGACAGTGGGCAGTTGAGGGGCCCTGGGACCTTGAGTCTTCAGAGGGTCAGGGACCACAGGACCTTGGTCCTTTGCTGGTGCTGATACCAGAGGATCTGGGTCCTTCAGAGGCACTGGGATGATAGGAACTTGGGTCTTCATAGGCTCAGAGATTAGAGGAGCTTGATTCTTTGGAGATTCTAGGACCATGGGACCTTGATCCTTAACTAGCGTTGGGACAATGGGGTCTTGGATCTTCACAGACTCAGAGACCACAGGACCTTGATTCTTTAGCACAGAATCATATCCCTTCAGGTCCTCAGGGGCCACTACATCTTGATTCTTGATTGGCTCTGGGACTATAAAGTCTTGAGTCTTCATAGGTTCAGAGACCACAGGACCTTGATTCTTTGTAGGTGCCATGACCAGGATGCTCTGATCCTCCAGATGCTCTGGGCCTGCAGGACCTTGATCCTTACCAGGTGCTGGGACCAGAGGACCTTGATTCTTCCCAGGCTCAGGAGCCACAGGACCTTGATCTTTCAGAGGTGCTGGTACCACGGAACCTGGATCCGTAATTCTTGCTGGAATCATAGGACTTTGAATCTTTAGAGGCTCTAGGACTAAAGGACCTTGGTCCTTGGCTGGTGCTGAAGTGGCAGAACCTTCATTCTTTAAAGGCTTAAGGACCATGTGATCTTGCTCTTTAACTGGCACTGGGGCCATGGGACCTAGATCCTTCAGGCACCCTGGGACTACAGCACCTTGATCCTTTGGAGACCCAGGGGCCACAGGACCCTGATTCTCTGGCGGCCCAGAGATCACAGCACCTCGATCCTTTGGAGGTCCCAGGACCATGGGGCCTTGATCCTTCAGAGGTTCTTGGACCACAGGACTTTGACCTTTCAGAAGCCCTGGGACCACAGGACCTTGATCCTTGTCTGGCTCTGGGACTACAGGACCTTGATTCTTACGTGAATCACTGGCAGGTGGGACAGGGCTCCTGCAAAGGAGAGAGAGGTGGTCACAGTGAGGGCAGAGTTCTGGCTAGGGATAGGGTAGAACACAGATTCCTGAAGAGCCCTGGGCCTGGCTAGCCTGGGCAAGGCGTCTCTGCTGGAGAGCCAGGAAGAAATCTGGTTTCTGTGTGAGCACAGAACAGGGGCAGGGGATTTAGGGAGGCTCAACTCAGCTATTCAATGTGTTTGCCAATTGATTATAACCTGCAAGTGGCACTTAGGTGACATAGCACTTCCTCTAGACTCAAAGTCACCCAGGGAGCATGGCACCAAAGCCCATTCAGCCCACATTCCATCCAGGCCTGGACTTCTTCCTTGAAGATGGCACCCATCTTGGAGTCCCATCTTAACTATCCATTTGGACCACGCTACTGGCCAGACTACTCAATCCTTGTTTTCAGGGCCTTCTAAGCTTCTTTTCTCTCCTGGTCCCCATCCTTAAGGTGGGGTAGAAAGACAGGGCGGTAGAAATGGCATTGCCCCTCCCCTTCAAGGGCAAAAGTATTTTATCATTAATATTGTTTAGAACAGTTAACACAAAATAATAAAGAACAGATTACAGCCAAGCAGCAGTGGCTCATCTTTGTAATCCTACTTACTCAGGAGGCTGAGGTCTGAGGATCATGGTTTGAAGCCAGCCTGGGCAGAAAAGTCTATGAGATTCTTAATTCCAATTAACTAGCAAAACGCCAGAGGCAGAAGTGTGGTTCAAGTGGTAGAGTGCCAGTCTTGAGAAAAAAACAATTCTAATGGACAGTATCTAGACCCTGGGTTCATGCCCCAGGATGGGTACAAAAACATAAGAAAAGATCACTTTTGATATTTTGTCTTTCAATTCTCTCTAGACACTGTATCCCTTATTGCCTATACCACCCCACTACCCCCCTTGGATAGGTAACTGACTGGAACATCCTGTCAGGTGTCCAGGCCCTGGTCCCTACCTCCATCCCCATTTCTGCTTCTTCTGTTTCTCCTCAGACCCTCCCCTTCACTTGGTCCAAGGCTTCTGGGCTTACTTACTACAGTCAGGAGCCCAGGCCTCTTACCAGAATCCTCCAGGTCTGCTTTGCTACAGCCACCACCACCAACCACTGGGACACCCAAGAGCAGAGAATTTGTGCAAACACTGTCCAAAGGCAAACACTGCCACACTCAGACTGGGCCAGTGTGGCGTCCTGTGGTCTAGCATGCACAGTCCTTCCTCCCAGGCCAGGCTGAGGGTCACACTGGAGAGTGGGCAGTGCTCAGCCCATATCACAAGCTCTTGTGCACCTAGGCACATTCTGAATTCGAAGTCAGTTCTCTGCATAGCTCAATTCAGCAACTCTGTGAAATGCATAGGAAGGATTGTATTACCCCTGATTGGTAGATGAAGTGAGGCCCAATGATAGGGCTGGGAAGGGACTAGAGTCTGGATCTTTCTGGTCTTCTAGAGTGCCTGACCCCCAGCCGGTACTCAGTATAAGATCACAAAGCCTGCGCTTTGGTTCTACTCTCTGATACCCAAGTCAGTAAGGTTGGAACTACGTTAGCCTTTTAACAGTCCCTTTCAGGCTTTGCATTTTAGCTGCTGCTTCTTTTTCTTTCTTTTTTTTAAATTAAAATTTTTATTTTTAGTGAACATACTATACAGAGGGGTTACAATTACATGGGCAAGATAATGAGTACATTTCTTATCAAGCATTGCAGCCTCCATGCATTTGTTTCTAACTCATATACAAATACACAATTTTTTTTTGGGGTCCGGTCATGGGGCGTGAACTCTGGGCGTGGGCGCTGTCCCTCAGCTCTTCAGCTCAAGGCTAGCGCTCTACCACTTGAACCAGAGCTCCACTTCCGGCTTTTTTCTTTTTGCTTATGTAGTGCTGAGGAATCGAACTCAGGGACTCATGCATGCAAGGCAAGCGCTCTACCACTGAGCCACCTTCCCAGCTCTAACTCATTTATAAGATTATTTCTTTGTTGGTTTGTATGTCCCTCCCCCACAGTATAACCCCCGCTTTCACTATATTTGATGTCGGTATAATTTGTGGAGGAGACGGGGAAAAACAAGTCGTTTAAGGATACAGGTGGACCCACTGCAACTATGAGAAGTACAAGTTGTCATGTTGAAAACGATCTTTACAACTTTGGGGCGGGGGGGGGGGGGAGGGAAGGGGGGGACTAGGTTGGGGGGCGGGGGGAGGCTGGGAAGGGAGGAGGCTGCTTCTTTTTCTTTTTGGCAGTGCTGGGAATGGAACCTAGGACCTTAAGACATGCCTAGGTATTCTACCACTGAGCTATACCCTCAGCCCTTTCCTGCTTCCCAAAGCTGTTCCACTGAGAATTCTACTTGTGAATGCTTTCTAAACTCATGGTGGTATAATTTCTCTGGAACCCAAGCTTGTTATCTACTCATCGGATATAATGATAGTTACTTAGAAATTTATAATGATTATAGCCTGGTACAGCAGCTCATGCCTGCAATCCTAGTTACCAGGGAGGTGGATACTGGGAAGATCATGGTCTAAGGCCACCCAGGGCAAAAATGCTGTTTAACAAGACTCCATCTCAACCAACAAGCTGAGTATGATGGTATAGTACAGGTCCAGATGAGCTTGGGCAAAAATATGAAGCCTTATCTAAAAATATAACTAAGGCAAAAGAAGGGCTGGAGTGTGTGGTTCAAGTGGCAGAGCACCTGCCTTGCAAGCATGAAGCCCTGAGTTGAAATTCCTATACTGTAAAAAAGAAATGTATGGTTATAGGACTAGAGGGGAGGTACATAGGACACATGCCATGGTAGGATTAAGTGGTATGATTGTTTTTCTATTTACTTAGAAGTAAAATTACACATACTCAGATTTTTAGTGTCTTTTTTTTTTGGTGCTAGTCCTATGGCCTAAACTCAGGGTCTGGGTGCTATCCTTGAACTTTATTTTGCTTAAGGTTAGTACTCTACCGCTTGAACCATAGGTCCACTTCCAGTTTTTTCTTTTGGTGGTTATTTGGAGATAAGAGTCTCACGGACTTTCCTACCTAGGCTGGCAGGTAGGATCAGTTTGAAAACTGTGATCTTCAGACCTCAGCCTCCTGAGTAGCTAGGATTCCAGGCGTGAGCCACCAGCACCTGGCCTCTACTCGGATTACTTTTAGTCTGCTCTAGAATCCTGATGTAGAAGCCTTTAGTTGTGTTTTGTGTCAGCAGAGTACACAGTGGCACAAGGACCTATCTGTCCTGTGTGGTCACTGTCACTGCGTAGGGCAGCGTTGAAAAGAACAGAGTGGTCCCAGGCTGAGCATGATGATGAGCACACCTATCTAGACAGAACCAGTTGTCAAAAATAGGCTCTGAGGGTTTGAAAGAGAGCAGAGCAAGGTTCTGAGGCAGATGCAGGATCTAACACTTCCAGTTATTGGTGGGTGGTCAGAGGAAAAGTGAAAACCAAGTTCAGAATTGAATCAAGAAGGAAATTAATTTGATGTGTCATCTCAGGCACTGAAGCCACGTGGGCAGGGCCACCTGATAGGTCTATAAGGCTCAGAAGAACCAAAAGGTGACCAGAATACCCTGATTTCAGGGGCTTAGGCTGCAGAATCCACTTCATCAGCGGAACACTGGCACCCCCTGCTGGCAGGGAGATCATAAACAAGGCCTGCCCCGCAGTGTGGGGCCAAGCAACTATTTCCTGGGATGTTCAGGCCTTGGCTTCCAGATCATATCCCAAATTTCTGTTTATTGAACACTCTCAGCCAATTGTGAGTTAATTCCAAACTTTCATGGATAAATAACCTGGTATTTCTTTGGTTAGTAAACTTTTTTTTTTTCCTGAATGAAGTGTGTAATCATGAGATAGTTTAGAATTAAGATGAGTTACCTCAAACCCAAAGTATTCCTTCTTTTATATTAACTTTAGGGAAAAAAAAATCTGTGTAGCCTTAGTTAAAACATGTGTAATATTTAACATAGTTTGGCATATTAGACTATCATACTGATAATAAGCTTGTGGCTCTAATATATAATATGTTACAGAAATAATTTAGATTTTTAATGTATTTTTTATAACAAAGTTTTAAAATATAATCAAGACATCAAAAAATATTTAAAACCTGTGGTTTGAGGGTAGCCTAGGCAAAAAGTGAGATTCCATCTCAACAAATAAGCAAGGCATGATTTCATGCATCTGTGCCTAGCTACCCTAGAGACATGGGTAAAAGAACTGTGATTTGAGGCCAGCACCGGACACAATGGAAAAACCTTACCTGAAAAATAACTAAAGCAAAGCAAAGCAAAGCAAAGAAAAGGCTGAGTGTGATTCAAGTGGTATAACAAACATGAGGCTCTGAGTTCAAATCTCAGTGTAGCCAAAAACATTAATCTTAGCATTTCTTCATGAGTAATGCTAGACATTCCACCTAGGCTGAACTTAGAAGGATTAATTGTATTTGTCCCTGGATCATGGATGACTTTGAACGGGTCTGCTCATTACCTAGGAAATTTAGGCTTAGTCCTAGGTAACACTGCAGAACTTGGTCAACTACTTATTAACTAGTAGGAATTTGATTGTTTTTATGTTCATAAACAATATGTGCCTAAATAAGTAAAATAGGCAACACTGAAAACTGTCAAGAATTTTTTTTTTGTGGTACTAAGGTTTGGACTCAGGTCCTTGTGCTTGCTAGTCTGGTGTTCTACCACTTGAGTCAGACTTCCATCTTGGCTTTTTGCTGGTTAATTGGAGATAAAAGTCTTGAGGATTTGTCTGCCTGGGCTGTCTTTGAATCTCAACCCTCACATCTCAGCCTTCTGAGTAGCTAAGATTATATGTGAGCCACAGCACTGGCACATAGCTTTCTATAACCATTTTTGCTGGTTAATTGAAGATAGAGTCTCTGGTGGACTTTTCTGCCCGGCTGGCTTTGAACCATAATCATTTTGAGCTCAGATTTCTTTTTTTCCTTCTTCCTTTCCTTCCTCCTTTCTTTCTTTCCTTCTTTTCCTTCC